TCTCTCTCTCTCTCTCTCTCTCTCTCTCTCTCTCTCTCTCTCTCTCTCTCTCTCTCTGACATGACGGAGGAAGGCCTCGGTTGAAATGATGTCCCCCCCACCCGCCCGCGAGGCCGAGCTCCTCCTCATCTTCTGTTCTTCTTCTTCTTCCCTCTCCTCGCCTTTCTCCTCCTCCTCCTCCTCCTCGTCCTCCTCCTCCTCCTCGTCGTCCTCCTCCTCCCCCTCTCACGTTTATGATTTTTATTTATTTGTTGTCAGAAAATGGGAAATTGTAGAAGTCATGTTCGATCTCAGAAAAATGGGAAACTGTAGTAGTATGTTCGATGAACTTCGGTCTCTTTTCTTTTCTTAATTTCGACCATCTCTTGATTTATGTGTGTCATTCTTCCGCAGGGGCCATGCTAATCGTCTGTCTATCATTCCAAATTTGAGGGATATCTCATCCCGCCTCCTGCTCCTCTTCCTCTTCTTCCTCCTCCTCCTCCTCCTCCACTTCCTCCACCTCCTCCTCCACTTCCTCCATCTCCTCCTCCGTTTTCTCCGCTTCCTCCGCTTCCTCCGCGTCCTACGCTTCCTCACCACCGCCGCCTCCTCATCGTCCTCATGTTCGATCTCTTTTTTTTTCTTAATTTCGACCCTCTCTCGATTTATGTGTGTCATCCTTGCGCGGATCATTCCAACTTTAAGGGACATCTCATCCCGCCTCCTGCTCCTCTTCCTTGTCCTCCTCCTCCTCCTCCTCCACTTCCTGCACATCCTCCTCCGCCTTCTCTGCTTTCTCCGTATCCTCCGCTTCATCACCTCCTCCTCCTCCTCCTGCTCCCGCTCCTCCTCTTCCCGGTTCTCCTGCCATTCCCGCTCCCCCAGCTCCCGCTCTTCCTGCCATTCCCTCTCCTCCTCGTCCCGCTCCTCTTTTTCCTCCCCCCACTTCTCCTCTACTCTTTGCTGCAATCTCTTCTTCCCCATTTCCTCACCTCTTCCTCCTCATCATCCTCTTCCTCCCGCTCCCACTCCTCCTCTGCTATTTCAGCTCCTCTCCCCACCTCCATCTCCTCCTCGTCATCCTGGTCCCGCTCCTCCTTCCACTCCGCTGCTCCTCCTCCCTCTACGCCTTGCTCCGGTCTCCTGTTGCCTCCATCCTCCTCTTCTCTTCCCTTCTCCTGCACTCTCACCACCCCCCCCCCCCCCCCCCC